GCCCCAGGCTCATGCTACAAGGAGAAGATGATTGGCGTCATCAACGAGGTAAGCCATGCCAACCCACTCAAGCCTCTCAAGAACAAACCCCAAACCTAACATCACGCCTCCCCAGAACTCAACCCAAACCCTCGACAAGCAACTCGAAGCGGCCCTCCCCCTGACAACCCAGATCCTCCCCGGCGAGCCCTTCCCAACCGAGTCCGACGCCTCCCGCAACGACCACCACCACCTCAGCGGCGGTGCCATCGCCGGCATCGTCATCGGCTGCGCCGCCTTCCTCATCTTCGGCGGCCTCCTCGTCTACCTCTGCGGGCGCCGCGGCGGCCTCAAGCGCGCCTACCGGCAGCCCCCGCAGTCGGGCCAGGCAGGAGAGGTAGAGGCCTCGCACCCGCCCGTGACGGAGATAAACTACAGCGCGCAGCCCAAGAGCCCCGCGACGCAGGGGTGGCGAAACAGCCACTACAGCGAGCTCAGCGGGACGTACCGCGACCAGCCTACGCCCATCGGCGGCTTCCCCGGCGCCAGCCCCCCGATGAGCCCCCAGCCGCGTTCCATGCAGGCCTACTAGTGAGTCCGATCAGAATCAATGGTGTTGAAAGAGAAGATGGATGTTCGAAGAAGAGATGTCGGGTGTTGTCAGGAACTGACCGAACATTACCACAGCGACCCCCGCATTTCGTCAATAGCGCCGAGCATCGCCGTCGAGGCCCCGGACAACCAAGCTGCGGTCCCACCACCGGCCCCCGCGCCGGAGGCCGCGCCGGTCGAGCTTCCGGCATCCGCTGACCCGGGTAACTCCCCGCTCCCCGCGTACAAGCCGCGGTTCTCGTTTGCGGGGCAGGAAGCTGACTATCGGCCAAGCAAGGAACAATCTTAGGGTATAAGGGGGAATGGAGGGCTGTGAGGTTTTGGGCACTGCCCCTTGGCTCTGTCTAGTTAGAGAGACAAGAAAATGATTGGGCTTGGTTAGAGGCATGGCGTTGGGGAGGGCGGACGTGGGCGAAATGGTTTCTTTGCTCAGGGGTTTCTGGCCGCATGGCGCCAGACTTAGTTGGATCTTGGTGATTTCTATAGTAATGTAAGAAATAATTACCATTGAAAATGTCTTTAAGCATCTTCAAGAACAAGTCATTCGGCTGGACGAATCTGTCAAGGCTAGGAATAGTAAACAAAGTCCATCGCGCCGGACACTCTGACCAACCACGTTAGCATCAGGACTCTCTACTTAGACGTCGATCAACGTGCATGATCCTTGCGAAGTGCAACTCAACCCCTCCGTCTGGCATTTCTGCACAAAAACAATTAAGCAACTGCACATGTTCGAAAACTTCTTATCTTCCCTCACAAGCTCAAGACCTGTAGCTTCAACCGACAAATCACACGCCTTTTCCCTCCCGATCATCTTCTTTTCCTCTGTCGTCAAGAAGCCTTACAGATGTGGAGTGGACGTTGGCGTCGCATCTGCACTGGCCATCGTCGCTGTACAAGGGGCTCTCCAAAAAGCAACGAATCACAAAGGTGTCAATTCCCTCGAGGGACTTCGATTTTTTTTTGTTTTCAGGCTCGGAAATTGGGAACCGCACTGAAGTGTTTGCGGCCGGCACCTTGTTGAAGTCACCGGACCCCACTAGCCTCACGTCAGAGCGGCGGGGGGATCCGCCTGCAGTACTTCTACAGCGATATGGTTGGCGGAAGACATGCTCCCATGGTGTAGCTGGTTTGCACATTGCTCTTATACCTCCGTTACCAACGGGAGATATGCAAAGGTCGTGAGTTCAATCCTCACTGGGAGCAACAACTCTTTTTGCGCATTTCGCCACTCTTTTTCTTTGCCTGCGCGTTTCAACGGCCTCTTTTGGGCTGGCTCCAGCAACCCAAAATGAGTGAAGAAGAGTCGCTCGCTTACAGTGGTGGGTGCGTGCACAGAATTCGGAGCAACTTTCTTCTGCCACCAAGGTCCCAGGGATCATGATCATCAGTGAGTTGAGACAGGCGAGGAACACACCTTGCGGAGTGAGAGGTATGCAACCATTATGACTGACTTCTGAATAAACGTGAAAATGTTTCTTGGCTTCAATCTGGCTCAAGCATCATTTGGACGATGACTACAAATTCTTCAAAGCTGGTGATTACCCCCCTCGTGCCTGCAGACGCTGTGGTCGACTTGGCCTTTTGGAATCCTCGCTCAAGCTGGGATTCGAGCTCTCTCTGCAAACATCAGCAGTGAGAGGACGTACTCGAACTGACATGACATCAGTTGTTCATGGCAGCGGAAGGGCCGTGAAATAGTGTTGCCATGGTTGCATTCAATAAGAAGCTTACTTGACATATATGGTCGATTACCCTCGACGATGCCTCGTTGTTCTCATCCATCGAGCACTGCATGCCACCTCTCGCAGTGTTATTACTCGGGCCTGCGCGGCTATTGGGCACTCTGGCGGTTGCGTTACATAGTCACGTCGTCCTTCTTTCTAAATGGCTTTCTGAGGAAACATCAAGCAACAAGTCACTTTCTCGTATGTCCCTCGATGCTAATGCGAGCGAAGTGAGGCCGGATAGACCGGAAATTTCAGCCGGGACGGCCCCACATCGGTCACGGCAGCTAAGATGATGCCACGGAGCAGCCCCGTCAACGAATGGTACCGTACCAACCAACAGCAGCTAACCTTAAGGGTCAAGGTTAGAAGTCTTGCCAACAGCGGCAGGAGGAGAGCCTTTGGACCACGGCTTACCATGGCAGTGCTCGCTGAGAAAATGACAGTCTGGCTCACGCAGGAGGTTGCATGGAGGACGCAGTCTATTTTAAGCTGACTCGCCGACGATCCGATGCTGAGGTCTCCCACTCAGCCGTTGAAGCCTACGATGCCGTCGGTTCGCTTGTTCACTACAGCCTGCTGGACAGCAATAGTAGATCATGTCCTATAGGCAGCAACGTGTATAGCGATTATTGAGAGGCACTGCTGGTCTTAAGATGGCACTGTCTAGAGGCTAGTCCTTTACGAAGGAATATAGTGTATTTTTGACTATATATTATATTAGATTACTATATACTTATATTTATCTTTTCGTTCGTCCCTGCATTATCCTTATTTATCTCTATCCCTATTTATCCCCTAGAGTAGTATATATACCTATTAAAGATTAGTATACTATACTATATATTTTAGTTTATAGAAATAAGTAAAGCGATTAAAATTATTTTTATTTTATATAAAGTTAGCTTTTATTTAATAATATATAGCTATAAGGTTTTTTAAATAAAATAAAAGAGATTCTCTTTTTTAAGTAATATATTAAATTTTTTAAGCTTAATTTTAGTAGCTAGAATAACTATAAATACTTATTCTATTACGCTACTTAACAGTAGTTTATTATACCTCTTTATATTTTTATTATTATATTATATCTATTTATAACATTATTTATAAAACTAAAATTAAAGTTTTATTATTATATAATATATAATACTATAGCGTAGAACTTTAGTTTAATATTCTTATTATAATAATCTTTATATTTATTAAGATTTATATTATAATATAGTCTAATAGCTAATATAGTAAGCTAGTTATAATATATTTATAGATATATCTATAGAAAGTATTATACTTAAAATCTCTTATATTTAAGTAATTTATTTACTTCACAAAGTATTATAATAAAAATCTAGATAGTATTAATACTTTTTAATCTTAGTATTAGTTTTGCGTAAAAAAAAACTTATAAAGTATTAAGTATAAGATAGGTACTCTATATATATATAGAATTACGTAAAGTTTAGCTTATGCTACTTGCTACTAAGGTACTAAGTCTAGAGGCCAGATAATTGCTGAGGAAGGGTTGGTGCCGCGGCAAGGGACTGCCTGTCACCCTGGCGAGGGGAGCTCTACCTAAGCTTTGAGGTAGGATGACTGAGTCAATTCACTGAGGCGAGCAAGCTTGTCGAGTCGCCCTACCTATGCTCTCTGCGGGACACCATTGGAGGCGGCATATCGCGCAACCACTATGGCACAGCGGATAAATCCACCAAAGGAGACCACAGATAGAGAGATTTAAGACCGGCTTGGAGCTTCCGTAAAGAATCAAGCGCGGAGGGACAGCTGCTGGAAGCACAGAAGAGCTGCGCGAGAGAAAACAAAAGGAAGGCGTTCGTGCCGAATCCAGGGACTGAGCGCGCACGAGCCACTCGCCCACCCGAAGCAAGCAAGCGGCCATCGCTCAGTGGCTCAAACGCTGAAAGCAGTCCACTGCTAGCGGAGTCGTGCCTTAACCGTAACCCCCGTGGACACCTAGCCCAGTGGTAAGGCACCTTGAGACTTGGAGAGCTTGGGCAGGTGGGCAACCAGCTCGGTACTTCCCCCCTCGCGGGTACACCATCGGGGGCGGGAGACTACGGCAGTTGGGCAGGTATCTCAAGTCTGGGCAGGTACATGCCGGTGACTGTCCAGCGACCTACCCGTTCTGGGTGTTCTGTCTAAAAAGTGGACCTCGGACCTCAAGCATCCATCGCGGGAGGTCGAAAGGACACATTGTACCAGAAGTCATCCACGCTACCATACCTTCCTTGCCTTGCCTTACCTTTGCGTTCAGGACAACTTGCCCTCCTTTCTCCGTTCCCTTCCTTCGACACTCCAAAGTCGTTCTTCGCTTTCTCTCTCGGTCACCACACCAACAGCTCACGGCCTTGTCTCTTTTACCAACGCCAACGGCCAATCCGTCAATTCTGTTTTTCCTTTCGTCGTCGCAAACCTGCCGCCCAACCCAAAGCCGCCGAAACGTCAAGGCTAGCCCTCGGATCCTCAGCTGCGGTTAACCCTCTTTTATCTTTTTTCGGTTTCGACACCAGCACCCTCCACCAGATCAACCATCGCCTTTGCCGACGGCTTCCCGACCAGGACAATTAGAGAGCGAAACAGCTGGTCTGTCTGTACCTTTTTGTGCAACAGCCGCGTCCACCAACCCTTGCGACCTTCCCTCCCGATCAATCCCTCATCGCGATGGCTCAGCAAAGAGGCCCGTCCTACGGCTTGGGCGCCGGTGGCCCCCCGTCCTTTGGCGGCTCGAGTATGGACAACGAGGAATCCAGCCCTCTGGACATGATCCGCCAGCAGACGAGCAAGATTGAGGATATGTTGGACACTCTCAGCGAGCCCGTCAAGCCGTGAGTTGGACCCTTGGTCTTGGCAGGGAGCTTGCCGAAAAGCTCGTGACTTTTGGAGCCATGCTGACGAGGGTCTCACGATAGCTACTTGCCCGCCATCGGCCGCTTCCTGATTGTTGTCACCTTCCTTGAGGATGCCCTCAGAATTATCACCCAGTGGAGCGACCAGCTGCTCTACCTGCACGACTACCGACACAGTACGTCTTCTAGTCTATGGCCGACAAATGATCGCGTGTTAACATGCTGCAGTCCCCTCCGGTATTACGCATTTGTTCCTCATTACCAACGTTGTCGCCATGACCGCCTGCTCTGTTCTCGTCATCATCCGCAAGTACTCCGACTATGCCGTCGCCGGTCTCATGGCCGTCGTCGTCACCCAGGCTCTCGGATACGGCCTGATCTTTGACCTCAACTTCTTCCTGCGCAACCTGTCCGTCATTGGTGGCCTGCTCATGGTTCTTTCCGACTCATGGGTTCGCAAGACCAAGGCGTTTGCCGGCCTGCCCACCCTTGACGAGAAGGACCGCAAGATGTACTTCCAGCTTGCTGGCCGTGTCCTGTTGATCTTCCTCTTTGTTGGCTTCATCTTCAGCGGCTCCTGGTCCGTCTGGCGCATTATCACCTCCCTGATTGGCTTTGTTGCTTGCGTCATGGTTGTCGTCGGATTCAAGGCCAAGTTCAGCGCCACCCTCCTGGTCCTGATTCTCAGCATCTTCAACATCCTCGTCAACAACTTCTGGACTGTAGGTTATGCTCTGCCCCACCCGCTTTTCTCCGTGCTAATATGTTCCTAGCTCCACGAGCACCACCCCCACAAGGACTTCGCCAAGTACGACTTCTTCCAGATCCTCTCTATTGTCGGCGGTCTCCTGCTGCTCGTCAACAGCGGCCCCGGCCAGTTCTCCATTGACGAGAAGAAGAAGGTTTACTAGAGAAAAAAAACACCAAAGCCCGGCTTCGGACGGGCAGAAGGAGTTTGGAGAAGAACGCGACCAGCAACAATTTGCTGGTTTCTTGGCATTACGAACGGCATTCAAAAGGTTGCACATCCCGCACTGCGATTACGGTTGTCGGGGTTACGGGATCACATCGTGGCATATATGGATTGTAGACAGGAGCACAATAGTTGATACGGAAAGCTGCGTGCTTGAAATGGAAGATATATTCATGTTCAAAGCGGTGTTGAATTGCTGTTTCGAGGACTGGTCACTTCCGTGCCACTGCATATGTGGATAATGGTATTCTGCACTAACATCGATGGGAGGCGTTGCCAAGCACTGAGACTTGGGACATCGGTTCCCCTCCGCGGCAACTTGCATCTGCGGCGGCTCTTCCCACTTGGAGGGAGACACAGCATCGGTTTGCGTCATCTGCCATTGGATGGTGCGATTCCAAGTGGATCACATGCAGGCTTAGTTACTGAACCCCCCTCCTTTTGGGCCAGAGAGAGGAACTGCACCGTCGAAGCCTCTCACTTCCTTGTCATTACATAAGGAAAGGTTTCTGTACCATGGTAGCTGAGGCTATCGTGAGAAAAGGTTTATAAGTAACCTTGTTCAACTGCTCTTAATTCTCACGTGAACAATTCCGTTGTATTTTGCAATGCTGGGTATCGTTTCTTCTATGATTACCTCTTGGGTGATTTGTACAAGGATTGGTTACTCAGTCTCTTTTTCATCATCCTTGTCCTTTACTGTATATTGTACTTCAAAGTCTGACTTTCCTCGGGCTCTGAACTCGTCTACATGTCGTTACTTGGCTAGTTTTCAGTGACTATGTCTGTGTAAGCGTCCTGACTTGATTGCGGTTCAGATCTGGATGCTCACGTGAGCAACTCGGCAACCCGCGCGCATGGCGGCGCTGACGGAGGGGCTTTTAGGGGTAGCTGTACGCCACGGTGACAGACAGACCCTAAGAGGCCGATGGGGAAGTATGAGTTTACCAGCGATATATGTTGGGAGGGGAAGGTGGAGGGTGGGAGGTGGTCGAGCTGGTGGAGGGGAATTTCAAGGAGTACTTGGTGGGGGTTGGTTATTGCTGGCACATCTCCTGCTGTGTTCATGAACTTGTTGTTGCCAGGGAACTTGCTGATCAGGATTTCGGAAAAGGACAGATTCACATATTTTCCTGAAAGGTATCAAATGTACGAGAAAAAACCAGCCACATCACTCTCTCGCGCGTCTGGCCCACGAACTTTCCCAATCTTGACACAAGCTGTCCGGCTTCACCACGAACAACCACACACACAGGACCCGGGAAAACGCCAGACTTCAACAGCTGTCTCCCCTCTCGCGGCCCCGCCTGCCTGCCCTGCCTCCTCAACCCAGCCCGACGCAAACGACTCCCAGCTCGGCGGACCCCAAGAAGCTGGCATCTCAGACCTCGACATGTAAACTTCCGCCAGATCTTTTGTCGTCAGGGTTATCCGGCGTAGACCTCGACACCGAGGCCTTGGCCGTCTTCTTGCGCAGGTGCTTGCTTCTCCGCCAGAGTCCATCAGAGAGCAACAGCACCAAAAGCTCTGATTTCAAGGTCGTCGTCCAAGGACGGAATTGCCAGACAACAGCGACCCCAACGGGGCAGCAGGGCATACCAAAGACGAACCGTCATCAGTATCACCGTCGACAACGAGGGCACAAGCGTCCCATACATCCTACGTCCCCGCCCCCTTCTAATGGGTAGAACAACCGCCCACCGCTACGAAGGAACACTCCCTTCACCTCCGGCGCCTCCAACCAAGCACATTCTAACCTTTGCATTACCCTCGCGCCTCTAGGATAGGATATCGATATCAAGTTGAACGTCCAACCCGCGGAACCCGAGCATCCTCGATCCCTCGGTCGCCCGCTGGCGCGCGTGGGAGGATGTCAAGAGGAAGTACCGCAAGTTTCGACATTTACAGGGTCTCGGGCTCGCCGTTTAAGGGCGCTACAGGTGTACCGCAAAGCTGCCATATATTTGGCCGAGGGGTGACGGGACGAGGTCATCCTGCATGTCTTGGCTCCAGGGTGGAGGGAGCAGGTTGTGGAAGCGTCTTGCGGCCAAGGGCGACACGACTTTTCAGGGGACAGCTCATGAAGTGAGTCGATTTGGAAAGCATAAGCACTGGGCAGGAATGGTCACGGCTTAAACATCACTACATGCGAAGAGGGGAAAACGTGAGGTAGTGACCTCGCCTGTCATGCATACTCTGATAAAGCGACTTGCGGTGAAGAGCGTCGAAGGAAGGTAATCCACAAGCAAAGGTCGTGATGTCGATACGCCTCTCCCCTTTCCCGAAGCAAGCAAAGTAAAAAAGAGTAAAAATATAAAGACATTGCCGGCGGACTGTTTGGTATCATCAAACGTCACACGCGACTTTCTCAAACCCCCCAAATTCCTGTTTTCCCTAATTGCCCCTTCCATCGCGCAAGATTCATATCAGGTCATGATACTCTCCAGGGGGAGATGAGTGAAGTTTTCGGGCGTTTTGTTTTTCTCTGTGAGAGCCAGAACCAAAGCGACGACAATAAAGGTATGTGGTGATTGTTGCGCATTGCACGTGAGAAAGATGCCCCGACCAGAACATTGCGAAAAGCTTTGGCGTTGGCGGGTCATGTTTTACAACGACTCCACCGTTTCCTCTAAGCGCAAGTCTGGGCCTGGAGCGAGTTGGGTCGCACTCCGTCGGCGAATCGGACACCGGATCGGGATGCGTGTCCACTGGATATGGTCGGCTTGCCCTTTCGTAGGATCGTCTTCTTCGAGTCAGGGGGAGACGAAGAAAACGTCGGTTTCGTGGGTGAAATCGAAGACGGGCCTGCAGACGAGGAGGATGTCTGGAGGCGTTCCGCAGACCCGTCGGATTGTCATTCGATACCGTGCTGCTGCTTGAGCTGCGCTAAACTGGCGCGGCGGGCCTCGAGGTCCTCTTTTGACTTGAGCATCTTCTCTGGCTGGTGGTACAGAACTGCGACGTGTTAGCGAGGACGGACGACGTGACAATGGGGAGTCGGCGACGCGACGTACCGATGAGGTATCGGTTCTGGAAGTTGAAGCCGTTGAGCTTGTCGCAGGCTTGCTTCGCATCCATTACGTCTTCATAGACAACGAAGGCGGTGCCCTTGGTGCCGCTGGCAATGCCCTGGCGCACCTGTCTGTTGAATAGTTAGTTATGCGTGTCGTGGTCGATATCGAAATAAGGTGCGTACCGGATCGGGCCAAATTTTCCGAACAGGTCGAACAACTCCTCTGGAGTTACGTTGTAGCTGTCGTCGCGTTAGTCATCCTCATTGTCGAGGTCGATGTCGATGTCGGGTCGACGATCATCGTGTAGAGGCTTACCTCAAGTTCTTCACGAACAGAGCTCTGCAGGAACAGTCAGCCATGTCTGTCATCACGCAACACAATGGAGGTAACATCGATCGGGACCCGGGGTAGGAGTCAAGATCAAAGGCCGGACGGCATGGGCCGTGGGGTGACCTCGCCCGGCTCCGGGTCTCGTGCCAGGGAAGAAGGGCGTGTTGGCTGACGGTACCGGGCCAGGGCGAATTGAAGAAGAATTCGGACTCACCGGTTGACTTCTGGGGCTAATTTACCGCCGCGACTACTCATCTCTCGATGCTCGGTGACGCTGGGAATTCGGATCGGGTTGGTGAACGCTCGGAAAAACGACAAGGACGCGCTGGTTGATGGGGGGAGGGCGGGAAGATTGAGATAGGATCTGGAAGTTCTAGGAATGGAAAACGGGGAGCAGGCAGAGTAAATGAGGCGACGGACCGGCGGCAGTGCAAGGATTGGGTGAAGGCGCCCACGTGACACGAGGGGCCCCACCCACCGTCACGCGGTGGGCCACTCATCATGCGTCCCGTCATCAAAAGGCAGTTGCGATCGGTACGTACCGGCCGCACCTGCCCAAGCAATTGAACTCTGTTGACTGCAGCGCCTGCCTCTGCAATGCATCAAGGTCCAGGTTGTCGTCGATACGTACCCGCTTCGGCTTTCCGTAGACGTGTCACCGAACGCCCTATCTCCGTCGTACTTCCAACTACTGCCATTGAGGGAGGCGCACTACATGCCCAACAGTCACTGACTGGCTGCAATTGCGCAGCTCCCTATGCAACAGGTCTCCGCTCACTAATGAGAACGGTGCTCGTAATGGATGTCTTGGGCCGGGATAGAACCACATCGCTCGCTCCTGCAAGCTGGCCGACATGTCACTGCCGTCCGTCCAAGAGAGTTCACTGCAAGTAGCATCCGGCGTAGCAGGCGGATGCACTGAACTGAAGCCGGGCGTTGCACGGTTGCTGCAGCTGCAAGACCAGCGGGAATGTTTCCGGGCCTCGACTAGACTTGCCATGTCTGCGGCCTCAACATGAGGTGTCCAATGGAAGTCAGGGTACCCAGGTGTGAGTGCTGCAAAGTACAGGCTGGAAACGTGAGCAGCCCGAGACCGCTGGGACGAAAACATTGGCCTGCTGCGTACACAGCGGAGATAGAGTTACAAGAGCCTGAGCACGCCATGTTTCTTGCTGCAATCATTGCAACGACACGGTGGGACACGCTCGAGCAGCCGATTCCCATGCACTGGTTCCTCAGGTTCGCGTTGTGTCCGCTCACTGCTCAGTGTCCTTTCCCAGTCCCGTCCCAGTCTCAGTCAATGGAAGGTTGGTGAAGAGTGGATCTGGACAAGTCACACGATCGGGCTCAAGATTGCGTAACTTGATCAATGCGATAGGAGCCTGCCAACCGGGCCGCTGTATCTGGCCTCTTATCCCTTCCCTATCAGTGGTATCGCATAATCCGGGGTACGGAGGCTCTGGAAAGCCACCCTGGACGCTGCCGTTGGGTTCGAGAAGGTGACTTGGATCTTGTTGCTGTTGGACACTGATTGACTGATGAGATGAGCTAAGGCAAGGTACCTCGCCGTTCGTTACCTTGCCTTGGCTGCTGC